TGGGATTCTGGGTGGGGAGGGGGGCTGCGCCGTGGCCCATGGGAGAAGCTCGCCCTGCAGCTGGCGGTGTGACCCGTGGGGAGTAGGGGGGGTTTGCAGCCCCAGGGGGAGCGCTTGGGGCAGCTGGCTCTGCAGCTGGGGGAGGGGAGCAGCAAGGGGTGTGGCCCATGGAGAGATTCCGGGGGTGGGGGTGCAGCTCATGTGGTGTGCTGGGGGTGGCCCAGTGCGGGCTTCCTTTGGGAAGGGTACTAGGAGGTGGGGGGTGTCTCCTACCTGACCAAGCCAGCAGCACTCCCAGTCCTGTATGGGTGCATGGCTGGGCACCAGGATCCTCCCCAGAACTCCTGGGTTCCAGGCGTATTCTCTTCCCCTTGCCAGCCTTCGGTGGGCGCTGGCTTTGGACTTGGGGCTCTGGCATTCCCAGAGAACCTGTATTTCCAACCAGCTCCTATCAGCACCTCCTGCAAACTGGGAGCCAGCGAATCCTGGCTTGTCCAGCTTGGGATTGTCCCCATGGGCTATTCCCAGGCCTTTGGACCTAGTCTGAAACACCCCAAGCAATGGGGCTTTTCACAGTCTCCCTAGGGAAGACTGTACCCTGATACTGGGCTCAATTTCAGTCTAGCTCCACCCTAAACATTCCTCTCCAGGCTTGGTGTCTCCACCCTGAAGACACAGCTGTTTCTTGTGTGCTGTAGAAACACCTCATTAGATTGGAAGAGATCTGCCCAATGCTCAGAGCCATGTAAACTCTAAGGCCGTGTCTACACTAGCGCTTAACGTTGGCAAAAGTTTTATCGCTCAGTGGTGTGGAAACCCTTCCCCAGTTTTGCCCGCATGAGGGCTCAGGTGCACAGCGCTCGACGACATAGCTACCACCGCTCCTTGAGTTGGTTTTATTCTGTCGACCGGAGAGCTCTCTCCCGTCGGCATAATGCAGCTACCTGAGCGATCTTACAGCAGCGCAGCTGTCTCGGTCCAGCTGTGCCACTGGAAGTTTGTGTAGACATGGCCTAAGGCACCTATCGCCTTGGTACAGACACACCAGACGGGTCTGAAGCCGCATGAGAGCCCAGTTGGTGTCCTCTGTCGTTGTAGGGGGAGGGATTAGTGTATTACCCACTGGGGGTGTGGGGGAGGGATTAGTGTGTGCGTTTTTGGATGAAGGGCTTGACGCTGTGCCCCTCAGATCCTGGCATCCGGCTGGGTGGGTCAGCCTGAAATGGCCAGGTCTCCGGCCTGGCGTTACCTCAGGAGCAACGCTGGTGTTCTCCATTGGTGCTTGAGTTCAGTAACACCATGAAGAACTGTCCACGGCCCTGCGGTGGGAGGCAAATAATAGGGCTCTGAAAACTCCCCTCTGTCATGATGCCTGTAGAAACCTTGACACCAGCTAGGCAGCTGCTGTGCTGATGCACTGCCCGTCATGCTGACCAGTCTTGTTTCCTTGGGCTTCCCTGTCCGTTTATATCCATCTGTCATCTCGTCTTACCCTTGGATTGGAATCACTTTGGGGGCAAGGACTGTCTTTTTTTGGGGGGGGGGTCTGTTTGTACAGCGCCTAGCACGCTGGGGTCCTGATCCATGACTGGGGTACTGGACGCTACCGTAATACACCTAAACAATGTACAGCACCTTGCATGCTGTGGTCTTGATCCAGGACTGAGGCTCCTAGTTGCTACTGCAGTATAAACAAGGGCACTTCAAGTTTCCTAGTTGGATAGACTGCAAAACTAACTCCTTAAATAGCATAATAGAAATGCCAGGCCGGAAGGAACCTCAAGAAGTCATCTAGTCCAACCCCACCATGCTGAGGCAGGGTTGAGTCTACCTAGCCCATCCCTGACAGGTTTGTTTTCTATTAAAATCAGGAGGAGGGGGGACGTTCAGTCCCTGGGTGCCTGTTACCAGGGTAATGAACTCTGTCTTCTAATTTTGAAGGAACATGAGCCGATCCCAGTGTATCACCCCACGCCGAGCCAGACCCGACTTGCCACGCAGCTAACGGAGGAAGAACAGATCCGAATCGCCCAGCGGATCGGGCTGATACAGCACCTGCCCAAAGGGATATTCGATCCGGGCACAGAACCATCGGAAAAAAAAGTGAAAGAGTAAGTCCTTTGCGTCCGACACCCTTCGTTTCTTCTCTTAGCCCCGGCTGAGCTGTGAGCTGACGGCAGTCGCCGTAAAGCTGAACAATCCGCCCCAATGCATGGCTAAACAGTCCTTCGAATTTACTGCCTAGGTTTGCGGTAACTCCAAAATTGTCATGGAAACTTTCCAGGCTTGGCAGAAAATCCACTCACTCCTCGAGGGAAAACGTACTAGCTCCAAGCCTGTGGTATTCCACAAGGCTGGATAACGTCTGCCTAGAATGGAAAGTCTTTGAGGACAAGGACTTGGTCCTCATACCTCTTGGCTAGAGCAGCCAGCACGCAGTTTACCCTCTGCAAATATGTTTCTATCCGGTGGGCTGATCCCACTTCTTCCAAACAGCTTCACTTTATCTTCAAACCCTTCACCAGACATAACCAAGCCTCCATGAGAGCTACTGCTTGTTACGTTTGGCGTTTCAGAGTTCAGCTGGTATTTGAGAGAGTCTCCCATTGGGAGGCTGAGGTGGGAAGTAACCCGTTTTTTTCTGTTTCGAATAGGGCGCCGGTTGTACTCCCTCTGTTCTCTCATAGAGCTTAAGGTCAGAAGGGACCATTAGATCCTCTAGTTTCACCTCCTGTATATTACAGGCCATTAAAGCATTTCAATCGTCAGGAGACTCAACTCTGCTCCAGGCAGAGAACAGGCGAGAGATCAGGCTCCTGCGCAGGCGGGGAATTGATTAGGTGACAGATGCCTAGATTTCAAATGCTTGAGGAGCTTTCCTGTATGGGTCAGGAAATCGAAGTGGAAAACTGCCCAGTCCAAAAGCCAGTGTATTAAACTTACAGGTGTGTGAAAATGAGACTGGACATCACTTTGCTATCCTATCCGTTCACCACCACCTTGAATGCTGTGTTCATCTGGGTTCACCCTGCTCAGATGGGGGGGGGGGTCGCTTTCACCTTCCTTGGAAGCAGCTAGTCCGGGGCGCTGTGGGAGGTAGAATACTGGTCGAATGCAGCCTTGCAGTGCCTGGCATCAAGTCCAGAGGCATTTGATTGTACTCAGCTGTGGGCATCAGCTTACTGGGTCAAGACCCCTCCCTCTGAGCATGCCCGGGAGCTGGCTGGGAGTCTCTATATCAGGGGTGGGCAAACTCTTTGGCCCGAGGGCCACATCGGGGTTTCAAAACTGTATGGAGGGCAGGGTAGGGAAGGCTGTGCCTCCCCAAACAGCCTGGCCCCCGCCCCCCCCCACGTCCCGCCCTCTGCCCCCCTCAGAACCCTCAACCAATCCAAACCCCCCTGCTCCTTGACCCCTAACCGCCCCTCCGGGACCCCACACCCTATCCAACCCCCCCTGCTCCCTGACTGCCCCGCCCCCTAGCCACACCCCCGCCCCAACAGGCCCCCATGCCTATCCAACCACCCCGGTTCCCCGTCCCCTGACGCGCCCCCCCACCCCGAACCACCTCCACCTGCTCCCTGACTGCCCCCCCGGGACCCACCCGCTCCATGCCGGAGCCAGCCATGCCGCCGCGCTGCCTGGCAGAAGTGGCGGGCCAGAGTGCTGGCAGCGAGGTGAGGCTGCGGCGGATGGGGGACAGCAGTGGAGGGGCCGGGGGCTGGCTAGCCTCCCTGGCCAGGAGCTCAGGGGCCGGGCAGGACGGTCGGCCTGTGGGCCGTAATTTGCCCACCTCTGCTCTGGCAGAAGAAAGGGGCTTTTCTCTCTTCCCAGGGCTTGTGGGAAGCCGAGCATGAAGTAGAACAGCCTCAAGGCTGCTCCAGCTTAACAGGCCCCTAAACATCGGGGGGTAAAGCCCCCAGGGCAGGGATGGAGACAGTGGGGCCAGGTATCTCCCCTGCAGACAGCGAGCTAACAGCACTTCCCCCTCTCTCTGGCCATAGGTGTGTCATCTGCATGCTGGATTTCGTGTACGGAGACCCCATCCGGTTCCTGCCCTGCCTGCATATCTACCACGTGGACTGCATCGACGACTGGCTGATGCGCTCCTTCACCTGTCCCTCCTGCATGGAGCCGGTGGACGCTGCTCTGCTGGCCTTCTACGAGACGAATTGAGGCCAAGCGTCGTCGTCGTGGCCCACGCTAATGCTTCGAGGCTGGTGGTGAGGAGAGGTCGGAGGCGCTGGGAGGGCTGGGGGCTTTTCGTTTTGCATACTCACGGGTTACACCAAAGACTCCGACGGCAAGGAACTCCAGCCCTGCTGCCTTGCGGATCACCCAGAGCCGTTAGAACGTCGCTCCGACTGAATGTCAGTTAAAAGCTGCCTCTTACAATCTCTGTATTAGCGTGTCAGGCTGAGGTATCGAAAGTTCCCTTCCTGGGCCCTCCCAGAAAGCAGCACCCGCCCATGCTACACAGCCTCTCCGAGTAGCTCCGTAGTGAGCATGGCCTGGCTCTGATGGGGATGGGGGGGGGGAGGTGCTGTTCAGCTGCGGCCCCTTCGTAAGTGTGACGATATTAGCGTAACGCAGCAGTGAACGAGATAAACGGATGAGGTTCAATAAAAGCAGGTGCTGATCTCCTCCGTTACAAACAGAAGGCGCAAGATCGTAGAGGTGCTGGCAAGAGCCGCTGGCTTGCGCTGCTCGGTATCTAGCTTGGTTAGGGGGGGTTTTTTTTTTTTTGTCCATCTCTGCTTTAAATAGTCACAACTCAGCTTCTTTAGCACCTGTTTTTTCCTTCCCCTGGATGGCGGCAGCTGTGCTTAACCCCTTGGCTGACTGAAACCAAACCGCCCACCCCAAATGGGCTGGAATGATGAAAATAAGTCCCCGAGGGCTCCCCACCCGCTGTTACTCAAACAGGAGTGCCTGAGAAGCAACCTTAGTGGGTGGCTTTAACTAGCAACATTACAGCAGGACTCTGCGATTCTAGCACGATGAATGGCACCCCGTAAAGGCGCTAACCTCCTCAGCGTAAAGCTTGGGTTTGAGGAGGAAGGGAAACCCAACCCTGCTCATTTTCTCTCTTCTACTTTGGTGAGAATAATCTCTAATCAGACAGTGTTTTAATATTCCAGCTGGCACATCTGCCTGAACAAAGCTATTTCCTGGAGGAATTTCTCCCACCCCCAGAAGGTTTTATAGTCCCCAAAATAAATTATTTCCGTTTAGCCCAATTGGCTTGGCCCAATGTGGTTTTTATTGTGTCACAACTGAATGGCTTTAAATAACTGAATGCAGATTTCTTCCCTAGTGCTATTTTAAGTGTCTGCCAGGTAAAGGGCAGTTGCTTTTGATTCATTTTCTCCTTTTTGAAGGCAGGGCAGCGGTTCATTTGTTCCCTTTGAGATTGCAACTTTAATACCAGTCATTAAACTCTACAATCTGCAGATTTGCCGCCTTAGCTGGCTCACAAGGCAACGACGACTAATCAAAACGACGAGAGTAGAAAATTGGAAACAGAGGCCGTTTGCTCCATGAAATAGGAAGTTTTCTTTCGCATGATGGGAGCACCAGGAGCTTCTCTTGTTGCCTTGAGACTTAACCCACCCTCGCGAAGCCAGCTCGTTTGCCTTCCACGCACTCGGCTGTCAGATGCCGCTCGCGGTGCAGGAGTCGGCCCGGCCCACCAGGGGTTAGCACCATTTTGAGTGAGTTGCCAGTTGGACGGGCTGCCCTGTGCTCTGTTAGTGGCTCCCAGGCCAGGGCTTTTCCAGTTATGTATTGTCCTTAACAAGGATTTAGCGCTTGAAAGTTAAGACTGATGTACATTGCATTGGAAATGCACAATAAAATAGATTGCCTATGAGTGCTCGTCTGTGTGGATTCCTGGTGGTAAGCCTCTCGTACCGTTCAGCCTCACGGCTTTGATTGCAGAGTATCTTACAACGGCCTGGTCACCGCACACACCTCTGAAGGAGGGACATGTCAGCCCTAGGTCCGAGTGAGGAACAACCACACAACCCTGACAAGATGCAGCACTAGACCACATTTAAGACTCCTATAGCCCTCTGTCACAACCACTTGCATCACCTCCTGCCCCATACAGGAGCAGATACAACTACTGGAATGGTTTGCTGGGGGACAGTAAAGTACTTCATGCAGCTGGAAATCAGTCAGGAGCATGGGCCTAAACTGCTCCTGATAGACCAGGCCATGTCCCCGAGAGAATGGCAGTGCTAGCTGCTGAAATCAGCCGTGCTTGTGGGAGATTTAGCCTGGACCTGTGGCCTCTTCACCCAAAACTGCTACCCACCATCAAAACTGGTTGCAGCAGCCGGGGCTACCACCTCCTGCTGTATTTAACTTCCACGACGTTAGCTGGGAGGGTGGTTCGGGACTGGGCCCTCCCTGGCCTGGTTTATTTTATTCCTCTAGCACTTGCTGATCCTTAGTTTGCTGAGTGTGGTTTGAGGGCTGGCCAGCACTCACCGTTCCTGGGACAATACTGATTGACACGTCCCTGGAGAAGGTAAAGGAGAGTGAATTTACCCTGACTCCCCTCTTGAGTCAAACTCCCCATATTTAGCTCCTTTCCCCCTTGCAAGACAGGCACTATGGGCCAGGAGCTAGAGCACGAGACGAGCAGTCAGGAAACAGGTTCAAACCCTAGCTCTGCTAGTGCCATTGGACAAGTCCTTTCCCAGCCCACGCCGAGGTTGTCAGTCGTAAGTTCTTCAGGGCCAGGACTGTCTGACCACGTACAAACAGGGCTCTTGGTTGAGGTCTCAAGGCTACATGTCTACACTGCTGTTAACCTGGGGGAGCGGTGCCTGGGTGTGTCCCCCCCAGCACTGAACCACGTCCTCACAGTTTCTGCACTCGCCTGTGTGTCTAGGGGCACAGCCCTGCGTTCTCTGGGCTGAGATGCTCTGGGATTCCTTCCCAGTCGGTTATGGGAGAAACGCCCTTTTCAGGGCAGAGAATTGGGGCAAGAGCATTGGAGGACAAGCAGCACCTGAGTACTTCAGCCTGCCTCCTCACTGCAAAGCCTGTGGGTTCCTGTCTGGGTTCTAATCCACCTCCCCAGCTGAGTTAGCTAACTTGGCCTTAAAACACCCTCAAACCCACCTCAGACACTCCTATGGGACAGAAATGGGGTTTGGGAGGATTCTAGGTTAATGGTGCAGTGTAGACATAACCCCTGGTTACTTCCATAGCTCCTTCTACCCAATGAGCTCAAAGCACTTACCTCAGCCCTCCCCCAGGAGGTAGGTACCACCCTCTTTCTCCAGCTAGGGAAGCCATGCTGTAGTCAACAGCTTACAGTGCTCCATTTACAGCAGCTCTACCTGTTAATGGCTTTATTGGCAGCAGACAGCTAATTACACAGGCAAAAGAGACAGAAAACAGAGCAACACTTCCTGGGAAACAGACCTACCGACACGGCAGTATGTACAACAGGAGTTTATTTTAAAAAGCCAGTCTTAAGAAAAGATGGTCAGTGGTTCTGAGCTTGGCCCATAAGATTGTTACAAAGAGGGATGAATCAGGTGGGCAGCCACAGAGGACAGGTCACAGCAGCTCCAAGGCCCAGCTGTCTACTTAAAGCCTTACCTAGGTAGGATACCCGCTACAAGCATCATGTCATTCATCTCTACTGATTAGGGGATCCAGCTTCCCCCTCCCACCCTGACAGAGAGATGATACAGGAAACCACACCCTTCCCCCAGCTCGTCATGGCAAGGGCCATCCATGGGGAAAATCTGGCTCCCAAAATATTCCAGGATTAATTGGCAGCTGCACCTCTCAATCCTCAAAGCTGCTGCTAGGTCAGAGCATCTCCAGGTGCTCACTGTGAACAGGTGAGAAGAGCCACCTGAAGGCAAGTGGTTGAAAATGGCACAGTGGGCCTGAGATTTAAACCCAACTTGATGCCCCACTTGCTGGGGAAATAAAGGCCAAGAGCAGAGGCCCTCAGGCTAAAGCAGTGGGTTACTGCCAGCCAGGCCTACGGCTCATGTCACTCAGCCATTCTGATTTAGTGCAAGCCCCACCAGGAGGACATGGCCCAGTTGTGATCAGGCTGCTGTAAGAGGCCTTGCCACAGTTGATTTGAGTCTTCAGGAGCAAGTTTTTAATGCTTCAGTCTGTTTCCCCTCCCCGGGCACTCCCTGACCCTCATGAGACCACCCGCTGGTGCCAAGTTTCAAGCTGCTTAGCTTACAGGAGCGACCAGAGGCCTCCCTTTCACTTGGATAGTTCTGAGAAACACCCCTCCCATTACACAGGTAGCAATTGCAGGGTTGCAGTCGCAGGAGTTTGTTAGGCAGGCAGTGATCGGGCTGCCTGAAACCGCTGGAAGTTGTGTGAAGGAACTGGGGAGAGAAACCAGCATCGCAGAATAGATGCATGGAAACCCAGTAACCCTTGATTGGTCCTGAAAACGCTGAGAAGGGTAACAGAGCAAAGGTATTGCGAGGAACCAACTGGGAACCCTCCAACAAGGCTGCAGGGAATGTAGCACTGGCATCAAAGACACCCAACAAAGCAGGAGCAGCTTAAAAATATCCAAGGTCTTTAATGAGTAAATGCATCTGCGGCATCCACATTTACCTTTAATAATGGAGTTTGACGCCCACCATCTACTGCCTACGGTTTCTACTCAAAGAAGTTAGCTAGTATGAAGCTCAACTTGCTGAGACGGCTGGAGTCCTCAGTGGGTGAGAGGGAAGAGCAGGGGTGGTGGGACAGGTTCTTGGTTGTGTACGGATGTGGAAGCGAGTTGTATCTCACACGCGAGAGCTGGTGATTAGATTTTGCTTTGACAGCCGCGGAAATACACAACATTGTCGGGATTCCACTAGTTTGGATTCTTTTAAAAAAGTAAAAGCTACAACTAATTCAGAGTCCGTACTTCCCAGAAGGAACCAACGAAAACAAAACTAAGTAAACGACAGACTAATGAAAGTCTCGGTGCGCCTGGGTATATAAAAAAACGTCTGTGGGAACCATCCATTGGAGCCAATGCTAGAAACAGCGGTGTTAAGTTCGCAGTGACTAGCTACCCTCCTTCGCTGTTTTAAATAAGTATGTACAACAGAGCGTCCTCACGGAAGTCAGCAGAAAGAAGGGCTATTTAACAAGGGGTCTCGTTTTGTCATCATCGCTACACTGGTGGGCTTTGTATTTTTTCACTTCTGCCATGTATTTGGCCCAGGCATCTCCTTTACTTGTCAAAACCTGCAGAGAGAGAGAAAGGGGGGGGAGGAGGAGGGGGCTTCAAAAGCTGTAACCAAGACACACGCACTGAGTGGATTTCATTTTCAAAGTGCTTTACACTAATTAGCTACCTGCCAACACCCTCGCCAGATAAAGTAGACGGACACAGACAGGAAGACTTTTGCCCAAGGCCACAGCAAGTCAGTGGCAGGACTAGAACCCAGGAATCTTAACTCCCAACTCTGATTGCTAGGCCCCACCCACCCTGCCCAGAGCTGGGGACAGACCCCAAGAACGCTGATTCCCTGCCCCACCTCTGCTCTGAGCACCAGAGCCCCCTTCTCATGCCAGGAGTAGAACCCAGGAGACCTGGCACCAAACTTCTGTTCTAATCCCATACATAGCTTGACTCTGTTATACTGAAGCCCCTTTCACCACTGATGGCTTAAAGGGCACACAAGTGACTCCCTGCAAATCTCCGCTGCGTAGGACGTTGGTGTACAATTACCACAAGGGCTCTACAATGGCCCATCTGCCCTCAGCCGAGGGGTGGGATGGGAGCATGGCTACGTAGCACTGCAGATACTCTCTGCTTCCCAGGGCCCCAGGAAACAGTGTAACTTGGAGCGGCTCTTCTAACGGAGGGCTTGTCTGCACAGGGAAATAGCCCAGAACTGCCACGTTGGAAGTGGATTAATCTAAACAAAAGCAGGCCCACTTGGAGCGTCCACATGGACAGAACGGCTTCGATACATGGGCAAATAACCCACAATAGGTTCACGCAGACAC